GTGTGTGTGTGTGTGTGTGCATGCGCTCATATATGTATACATCATATCTGGGAATATATGTATTTAAATAAACAAACATTTACATGTGTAAATTTAAACATTTGCTTTTTAAATATCTCAAGTAAAACCATCCTTACATTTGATGCTAAAATTTTTCAAAGATTTCTTATTGAGGTTAGACATCTCTTTTTTAAAAGATGTCTTCTATCTATCAACACTATTACTTTTTTTTTAAAGAGAGAGAGAGAATTTTTTAATATTTATTTTTTAGTTTTTGGCAGACACAACATCTTTGTTTGTATGTGGTGCTGAGGATGGAACCCAGGCAGCACGCATGCCAGGCAAGTGCGCTACTGCTTGAGCTACATCCCCAACCCCATTACTTTTTTTAATGGAGGTAACAAGAAAGAGATAAAACAGACAAATTTTTAAATTTATTTTTTAATTGACAAGTGAAAACTGTATATGTGGTTTTCCATTTATGGAGTATGTTACATTTTGATCTATGTATACCTTGTGGAACGGCTACAATATTCAACACATGCATTACCTTTCATACTTTTCTTTTTCTAATGGTAAAAACACTTAAAATCTGTTACCAATTTTCAAGTATACAATATATTGTTATTAAATATAGTCACCATGATGTGCAATAGAGCTCTTGAATTTATTCCTTGTCTAACTAAAATTTTGTTTTCTTTGACCAACATCTCTATTTAAAGCAATTTTTTAAACAAATATAAAATTATATTTTTGAGGATATGATTGTAGAACTGAAAACATCTCAAGCAAATCTAATTGAAAAATTACTAGAAATAATGAACAATTTCTGTAAGGTGGTTGAATTAAAAATGAACATGTAATCAATAGCCTTAACTGTATATAAAAAACCACCACCTATAAAAAAGAAAATGGAAAGAAAGAAAACTTATTTATAAGAGAGACCATAAGCAAACAAACAAAAATTACTAGAATTAAACTTAAATTATAAGTTAGGTCAATAAGAATTAAATAAAAGAAGACTTAAATAAAAGGCAAGTCCTATGCCATTTTGAGATAAGAAGACAGTAATTATAAAAATAACAATTCTGCCTGGCGTCAGCAGCTCAGAAGGCTAAAGCAAGAGGACCACAAGTCCAAAGCCAACCTCAGCAAAAGCAAGTTGCCAAGCAACTCAGTGAAACCTTGTCTCTAAATAAAATACAAAATAGGGCTGGGAATGTGGTCGGGTGCCCCTAAGTTCAACCCCTGGTACCAAAAAAACCCAAATATATATATAATTTCTGTCTAAACTAAACTAGAAATTGTATTTCTTCCCACTATAAAAAAGAGTCAAAAACTTTTAACTAATTTTAAAATCTGTAAAAAGAAGTCTATGCATAACTACAAAAGAAAAATCGGGCGACTGATGTTAAAATATGTTTAAAGCAAGGAGTTTGTATGTAACTCAGTGATAATTGGCTTGTCTGTCATGTATGAGGTCTCAGGTTCAATCTCCAGTGCTGCAAAAAATAATAAAAGAGGAAATAAATTATATTTTAAAACAAATAATTTTTAAAATAATGTAAACAGAAAAGAGAGTTTAAAAAAAGAAAATGCAGATATCAGGAATTATTTAAAAACACACTTGAATTTACAATATGATAAAGAAGGCTGTATATACGGGTTGGGAAAGATTCATCAATTAATAGAGTTTTGTAACTGGATAACATGCTGGATAAATGAAGTTCATTTTTTACTCTTAAAGTTCCAGATAAATCTAACATTTTTTTTTTTTTCCAGGGCTGAGGACCACACTCAGGGCCCTGTGCATGTTAGGCAAACACTCTGCCACTGAGCTAAATCTCCAACCCTCCAACATTAAATATTTTTAAAAAAGAAGTTTTTTAAAACATAGGAAGGAAACATGGGTGAATTCATTTATTTAACGTTACAACTGACTGAATCAAAATAGACGAAAATTGAGGAAAGAGTTCAAAGCATGGGTCTAAAACAAAAGCCCAATTTTCTTAATATCCAAAGAACTACAGATCAAGGAAAAAAGAATCAATAATTATATTAAAAATTGGGCAAAGTCTTGTCTAAATAGTCCTCAGAAAACTGCAACTTTAAATTCAAGGGGAGAACATTTGGTTTTTGGGTGTTGTTGTTGTTGTTGTTGTTGTTATTGTTGTTTTGGGATTTTCTTGGTGGTCCTGGGGATTGAACCCAGGGCTTTGTGCATGCGAGGAAAACATGCTACCAACTGAGCTATATCCCCAGCCCCGAAAGAGGAGAACATTTGTTGCTTATCAAAATAATGTAGATCAGACTTCCGTGAACCACTGCCTGTGGAGGAAGTAGGAAACAACCCAAAGGCGTTGCTGCTTGGAATGCATGTTGGTACACATCTACAGAGGTTAATCTGAAAATGCCTTATAAATCACAAAATGGAACATCATTTTGATCAGCATTTCCGTTTCTTGGCACTTATTATTCACATAGTCCCTTCCATGTGCAAAAAGACATAGTCAAAGGATATTTATTAAAGCACTGCTTGTAATAGCAAAATGTTTGAAAATAACATAAATGTACCTTAATAAGTATTTGTTAAATCAACTACAGTCCATCCACACAATAAAACACTAATGTTTTAAGGCCATTTCTATATTTACTAAAATGACTAATTTCT